CTGCCGCCCGCCATGGGCCCCGGGTGAGCTCCCCGGGCACACGGACCATTGTCATTTCTTGAGTGCTTTCCTGTTAGAAAATGAAGGTAAAGAGTGCAATATAGTCCACACAGAATCTAGGATCACTTCTTCTAACTTACACCCTTTCCAAGTCCTTTTGAGATTTATCCTTGGAATAAGTAGTGGAAAACCTCCCACAGACTCTGCTTGGATCACTCCTCCCTTTTTCCTGCCTCCTTGCAGGATAGCAAATAGTGGACATCTGAGAATGTTAGGTTTTTATCAGGCAGAAAGGAAGCTTTCCCTTCCAACCCATGCCAATGTCTCAGCACTGCTGCCAAGTCTGGCCAGACTGCGTGTCTACAGCCCCGTGGAGTCCAGAGCCCCATGGCCTGCACCCTTTACCCCGTGGAGTCTGGGCTGCAGATCTGGTTTTGCCCTGGCTGAGTGAGGCAGATTCAGACCCTTGAATGAAGTCATTGCTGATAAGAAAACTCACAAGAGAGAGCACAAGCATGTTGCTTGAGAAAAACTACTGTGACAGCTCTTCCCAGGAGACATCCTACTCTTGGGGTTGGGAACTGCCAAAGAAACACTTGCTTCTCTGCTCGGGCTGTCTGAGCTGTGCCTTTCACACCCCTTCCCTGTATCTAAGAGCTACAAGCAACGCTCACCAACAGCTGGTGGCACCAAAGGATCTTCTTCAGGTTACACGGATCTTTTGCAGAAGCCAAGAGGATGTGATGTCTGCCTTCCCTACGATCCAGGTCTCCAGTCTCCTTTACCTTGGACCACTGTTGCTTCCAGTTCAATGCTGTGAGGTGAGATGGGTGGGTGAAGCAAGCAAGGCATCAGCAGCTTCAAACCCATGGCAGGGCTGCCATGGCATGGAAGCCAGCTCCACCACCCACACAGGCCTGGGTCACACAAGCAAACCTGATGTTCTGCACTGAAAGCACGTCAGTGGAGGTAAGAGAGAAAGGGTTTGCCATCCCACAACGCATTTCCCACTTCTAATGCAAGTGGTGCAAGTTAAGCAAAGGGCAACTGGAAACACAGTTCTTTGCTTTTGGGAAAACGAATGTCCTAAATGCAACTTTGAACAGGAAACAGAGGCCTACACATGCTTTGGCCACGAGCCAAAATCAAACACTTCAGCTGCTGTTTGTATTTGCGCACAAAGCAAATTTCACAGGATAGCAGAATCACTGTGGTTAGAAAGGACCTTCAAGATTAAGCCCAACTATCTAACTCTACCAGGCCATTTTTTCCTTCATACAGCACAAATATAAAAAAATATGACCTACAGTTTCCAAAAAGCACTTCTGTAGACAACTTCCAGATGGCAGACCAGGTTTATTATAATCCTTCTCCTTTTTGAAGCGTCAGAGTTGAGACGTCTTCCTAGACCTGACCTGGTGATATTCAGAAGTACAGATCAAACAAGGTATAAAGCTAGAAACTACACTTATTGCTTCTGAGCAACTTCAGTACAAGTCAATTTAAGGAGCCTAAATATAGTTTTTAAGAGCCTTAGAAACTCATGCTTTCACTATGGTGCTTCAATGACTGTGGCAAAGCTGCCTTTATTAGACATGATGCTTAAGAGAGACAAGAGAGGCTGTCAGCTGTGCATGTTTTTGGAATGAATGGTGACAACTTGCAGTCTTATTCTTGGTGTCCCTTTACTCTAAGGACCCCAAAATTATGTCCAAGATAGCACTTAATTAGGAGTTGCCTGGATCCTCTCTGTCTTTGGTTTGTGTGTCTCACACATTAATTAGCAAGCTTTACTCCATAATTTTATTCAACTTTATGGATCTCTTGTCTTTCATTTCATTTCATTGTAATTTAGGAGCTGGTCAACTTGGATGGGAAACTCCCTCGACCCAAAGGGGAGCTCCCTAATGCGTTTTCCCTTGGCTGTCATCCCTTGTGACAGGTATCTGATAAGTAGAAGAGTGGCTTCACCCTCTGTGATTATTTACCACTTGCATTCTGGGCTCCTTCTGTTCTGATATGCAGACAAGATGAAACTGCTTTTGGAGGAAACCTGGGTAACAAAATTTCAGTTGTGGAAACTGTTAGAGCCCTTGAAAGAAGAGATCTTTGGACATACTAGACAGGTTGCTTCCTGCTGTAGGCAGTAAATTCTAGGGTGTTAACAGCTTATCAAGCACCCACTCCTGTCATGGATCCACTCTGCATCTTCATACACTCCCTCTCCTCCCCTTGAGCTGTGAGATGATGATTTCCAAAACAACAGGAGTTTAATGGTAACCACTGCAGATCCTATCCTGTGATAACTGATGCTCTGCTCCAATCTCATCCAGAGCCTGCTGAAATCAATAGGAGTTTCATAGGTAGTTTAAAAAAAAAGAAACTTAGATTATGCCCAGACAATAGATGTACACAGAAATATCTTAAAATTTTATGCAATGAGATCTTTTAAAAAGACAACTAGCTTTAATGTGAAATTATTTCCCTGTTGCAGAACTGGCCAAGAATCTATAATAGTAGTTTACTGTGAATTCTATGTAATAGCTAATCAGCTTTTGTAAACCAGCACAGCTCCATGGAGAATGAGTATTTATGTACTCATTTACATAACTACGTTTTTCTACCCTCTAGATTTCCTGAGTAATTTTTGTAGGCACATTTCTAGAATCTTAATATATGTGCTTCTGTGCAACTTTTTCTAGAGTTTTGAGAGGTTTTACTAGTTATTTAATCTGAGTTTGAACTGTGTTTGAGAACATATGCATGGTCCATCAGCACTACTGCTTGTTGTTGGATGAAGAAAGGAAACAATCAAAAAACAGATATGAAAGGCAGGGTATGAACTCATTAGACAGCAGTTCTACATGATCTTTAACTATCAAGTCCCACAGAGTAAACAGATTGCTGTCAAGCTGTTGGTGTAGGTTTCCATCCATATGCTGACTGGTCTTCTACAAGCTGCATTCATGATATTTCACTGAAAACTGATGTCTTACAAACTATGGAAAAATACCAGGCTGCTATCTATCCCCCTGCAGCTCTTTATCTTCTAGCCATCATGGAAATGAGGACAATGGTTAAGACCATGGTTCCAGCGATTCCACCCACTATCATTCCCAGGATGTTCCCATGGACTTGCACTGACTGACATCTCTCGCCCGTGAAGAAGAAGGCTTGTCCTGACAGGCACCTGGGAAAATAAAGTACAGAGTCACATGAAGCAGGAGTTTTGTCCTGCCCCATTGTCCCACCTCAGGGTCCTCACACCACTACCCTGGATGGCAGTTCCCATTATACATTTCACATCACAAAATCCCCACTTTGGAGGCTATTTGCACCCCCTGGAAGCATGACAGAATGGGGTTTCTTTGCCTCCCCTCATGGCTGCTAGTGGAGACTGGTCACTACATGTGACCACTAAGGTGTTTTATTCCTTCTGTTCCTTGAAAACTTAGTTGCTCAGCTCTCTGAGTTTACTGGCTCTGGATATTTACTGGCTGCATCATTTGGTTCAGAAGATAGTCAAGGCAAGCAAGGAAGAGGTCCATGGTACCTGCAGCTTGCTCTCCCTTTCACATTGACACAGACTCCATCATTCTGGCAAGGGTTTGGGTCACACGGGTCTTGCAGATAAGGCAGCTGGTCCTGAACAGGCTCCATATCCTGGGCTGCTCTCTTCTGCCTTTCAAGAATGAGGCCTTCCATTAAGGCAGATTGTCTAGGGTGCACAGGAACCTCAGTGTTATTGAGATGAGTTAGGTCTTTAAAAGAGCAAAAGAGAGGGGAAAGACATCAGATAACAGCGAGTGATACTGTGTGTAGTATTATTCATATCAGGGGCTCACAGGGTGTTTTATGCACAAGAGGGTGCTTCTTGTCTCTTTGTCCTTTACAGAGCTCTTGGTGTACCACAGTAAGTTCTGCATATTTAAAACACAAGACAGAAAATAATACTCAAGTTATTATTGGTTAGGTAAATTGGTGGTATTCTGTATTTTGAAAAATTATGCCAAGTGTGCCTCTTCTATTTGGAAATAAACACCACAAGAAAGGCCTTTTAGTACTTTCAGTGCTTAGAAGTGGACATAGCTACTGGTTAGGATGCTTAAAGGTGTCTAAGAAGTTAACCTTCAGGAAAACGTTGCCATTTAGATTCCTCTGATCTCACAAGCACTTTAGTCAACATCACTCACCTGAAACTAAGAAACAGGGATGCTTTAAAAGCTGATCCCCGTTAGCAAAGACCATGACTCAGAGTCAAGTGGCAATAGTTACTTGAATGTATGAAAAGAAAGGATCACCCATTTGCTTCTGTAAGGGGAAACAGGAGTAGGGTCTTTACCATTAAATTCTGCAAAAATTATCAGGTCATCATTTTTCAGGAAGCTTCTGCGCCTCATCTGGCTGTGGGATATGAAGTTAGCCCACCCCCACGATACACTTCTGTAGCAATTGCATGAGGCATCAAATTTTCCAGCAATTGATGGTTTCTCCCATATTATGCTTCCATTAACATCTGCAAAGAGAATATGAGCAGCAGATAAGAACCACAAAGTTCTGCAGCAGGAAGTATGTTGTGACTATTTTCTGCATTACAATGTTAAACAGAATTTATGTTGTAACAAGCTCAGAGCTGAAATGCCCAAACAAGTCACAGAGGACTGGCAAATTAAAGGTGACAGCAGATTCTTAGATATAGTCTACATGAGGACTCTTGGTCTATGTCAGGGCACTGAAATTCCACAATTCCCCTTCCAGTGAGGACTTACCAAACGCAAGCTACCTCCTTGTTGTCACCAGCAAAGAGCACCCTCCTGGGTAAGGACACTCCCTCATCAGTTTTTAAGTACCTATGGTTTAGAGTCTAGCAGATTTTGTTCATTGCTATGGTTTTGTTAAACGTATTCACACCTAAGTTTTAACACCTCCAACTGAAACAGTGTGTACTAAACTTCCACTGGAAAAAGTGAAGAGGGATGGAGATTAATCTCCAGGATGTTATTCTGTAACAAACTCAGTATTGTCCAGTTGTTCTTATTTCTTTCAACTGTCGTGGGAAATCCTAGGGCTGAGTGTGGAACTGTGGTGCTACATGCAATATAAAGCTGGAGTTGAAAGGTAGCCCCTGTATCAAAGGGGTCATAATCTGGAGCCTACACCCAGCCAAGCAAGACAGGCTTCAAATGCTACAGATTGATCTCACAGGTGTTTTCAGGGTTTTTTTTCCTTAGATAAAGCTACAGTGTAGACATTATGCATTCAGACCTTGTATGTTTAAGTTAACCAAGCCTCCAAAATGCAGTTTTAACTTGAATTATTGTTGACCTAGTAATGGAATCCAACACCCTGCTGGCATTGCACCATCCTGTGCTGCTATGTCACCTATCATGATGGGCAAACCTCAGGTAGAATGAAAATTGCCAGCTTTTAGAAGACCTCTGTATTTAGAGTCAAAATCATAGATCCCAGCGACTGTTTCTAATAACACCAACATTCTATGCATCACTTTTCACCTCAGATGATCTTTCACAGACAGGAATTCTGAGTCATACACAGAAAAGCCATATAGAAAATAGTGTCTCAAACAGGGAAATTCAACCAAAGTTGCCCCCTAAGTTTCCTTGGCTTTTATTTTTACCATTCCTCTAGGCAGACAGCACTTACCTGAGCTAACATGGTCTTTGCTTGTGGTAAAGCTTCTGCTGGAGGACATCCTTTTCAAGACATCAGGGTCCTGGTCCAGCACTGTGAGTACGGCCTGGCGGTTCAGGGCTGGCCACTCCAGAACACCATCGTTCTCTCCACTGCACAGGTGAAAGGCAATGCGAGCGTAGCCACTCACGGTGGAGTGGGGATGCAGGGTTACCCCAAAGCCATAACCCTCGGGGCTGTAGAACCGGGGGCTCTGCATAACACCACTCGTCGTGTTTGCAAGGATCTTGCTGAAATTCCGGATGACCCACACGGCTGTGGGACAGGGAGTCTCTGTAAGTGTGACATCGTCGATGGCAATCCCACCAGATGAAGAGCTGGGGTTGCCCTTCAGTCCTTGGAAGAGGTAACGGAACTTCTTCTGAGCATTGAGGGTTACGTGGGCGATTTTCCAGCCGTGGTCATTGTCCGCTTTAGCAAAAGGAAGGAAAACGTTGCTGTCAGCACCATCAGTCATACTGTAAAGCAGCTTCTTCCTAGCCAACTTCTTCATAGACAACTGGACCTCTCTCAGAATCCTGGAGGCCAGATATTTTAAGCTGGTATTGTGATTATAATATACTCACATTGCCTTACCATCTAAATGCTTTGGACACAATTTTTTTATTGGATATTAGGAAGAATTTCTTTACTGAGAGAGTGGT